GTATTTATGTGATTGTCGCACTGTATGACATAAGAAGATTGTCTAAAACTAAGATCTTTCATGATGCATACACTACAGACAAATAAACAAACATTGTAAGCATAACGATATATTGTTGACACATTAATACAAACATAAAGTAACATATTATACTATTACGGAAGAATGTTAGGGTTTTTTTTCATGAAGTTTTCTTCATCTGCAGTGACTGGGAGTGTCGTGGTGACTACCTCGCCAGACTGGGGCCCTTGTTACAGCACTACGAGCGAAGGTTTGGCGCTGACTGTGATGTAAGTTACTTTGCTACCTAAGAATTAAAAAGTTATAATTGCTTACGAAGTTACTGCCTAGTTTTGACAAATTTGGAATAAAAAATATTCAGTTTTACTATATGTCATACTTTTTCGAATGCAATTCTTTGAATATCTTGATAACAACCTCCGAGTAATCTTACGATTTTGATAGAGCAGATAGAACATTATCAAAATTGGTTTCTGACCTCATTTCTTAGTAACTTAAAAAGGCCCAAAATATCAGATAGTACTTTGTAATTCTTGGGTAGCTCCTTGTTGAGTTACTGGGTAAGATCTTTTTAACTCTGAGACGTCGGCACTTCTATTGACTAGATGTTGCATTTTGGGTTTTTTTCCTGTTTTCCTCGCTCATCATAAATGTCTACTTGCCTGTACTACAGTCGTATTCTCTAACAACAAATCTTCAATCTTGTCAGAATATATGGGCACTACTTGGTGGTAGCTTGAAACCTATATTTTTCCATGTTGAAAATGTTAATGTTTACTTATTTCAAATCAAACTTTGCATACGACATTTGTTGTTGTTTTTTACTGAAAATTCTAATGTTTACTTTATATTTCAAACTCAACTTTATTTACAACTTGTAAGAGTTATGTAGGTGTTTTTACGACAGTATCAAAGCAATTTCAATTATTTAGGAGTCAGCTTCCAACCTTGCCGAAAGGGATACATCTTAGAAGAAATTATGTATAGTTTCTGGAGAAAAATGTTTGTTCCCACTCTGGAACTCGGGTTCGAACTCGAGTCTCACGCGACAGCAAAGCGCCTAAAGGCTACACCACAGGCGCCTGTCGTAAGTTCCCGACTCCATGAGTGTTATACAGCAATGTTGAATAATCAAACCAAGTTTCTGGTATTTGCAAGTCATTACCCACCTCGATAAAGCTGAGCATGAGACATGCATTTAATACAAGGCGGATGAGGAGGAAAATTAAGACTTGGGATCAAATTGTCGAAGGTGGCCAAGGTGGTCAAAATAACAATTTTATCGAACGGATTGTTCTAATAATTATAATAAGTGGGAACATGAGCCAAGAGAGGCAATAGTGCCACGCTTGGTTTTAGTTGGTGGTCCGCTTTTTTTTTTCTTTTTCCTTTTCTGTGAGGTTTGTTTGTTTGTTTGCTTGTTTGTCTGTTTGTTTGTTTGATGCGGGTTTTTTCGCATTATGTCAGAATGTCCATTTTCTCTTCAGCTACGTTTCATGGCGTATTATTGTATATTTTCTGACATATGGCTGTTATCATGCCGAATACCCGCTAACTATACCTTACAACCACAAACTTTTAAAATTTGAAATATATTGTAATACTAAGGTTCGTTTTTCAAAAACGACGACAATTTTTCTGTTTCCTCCTGCCAGGACGAAGTGGTGTCCAGTTTCTCAGCTGTGATGAAAGGCCTGGAAAAACATCGTGAGAAAGCACAGGATAGAATGGAGGCCGGGTTTGAGCGCGAAAACGACTCCGCCATTGATGATGTTGGAGAGAAACGTTTGGTGACCACCATGTTGGCGGCGGCTACAGCGTCTGTGACTGTGAGGAGGAAGAGGGCTGTTGCTGAAGGTAGGGGAAGAAGAAGAGAGTGGATAGAGATATTGAACATGTTGTTTTAGACTTTTTTGGATTACATTTCCTCCCTTCATTTCCTTTAATTTAGAAAGAGGATATGGAGTTTGTATGTTCGTAGAGGGTTTGCCACATTTTTCTCTATAAAAAATGTTTTTGTAACTGTATGCACTTCCAAGAAAGACTACAACTATTTCATCATAACAAAATTGTAATTTGTTTTGATTCACTATTCCTCTGATAAAATGCCTACTAAGCCTTGATTAAATTGGAAGAGAGTTTTCATTGTCCTATGTGCACCCAAAAAAAGGATTTCACTCATTTGAAGTGTGGTCATTTTTGTGTTAGGACTTTAACACTCTGTAGACGTGCATACCGCTGCCAGTCAATTGTATTGGTTAAAGCGTACAATGAGCACGACATGAAACAAGAGAGAAAAAGAGAGGCGGAGAGAGAGGGAGAGAGAGAGAGAGAGAGAGAGAGAGAG